ATTGTTTATCTGGGTTGGCCCCCAACTCTGCCCAAAGTAACCTTGGGAGGGGAAGCAGAGTAACAGGAAGAGAATTCCCAGACTTCCAGCTGGGCCCCAGGCATTGCCCTCACCTCGTTTTCTATCACGGCATCACTGATCATGAGGCCTCCATGCTGAACTGCAGCATCTCACCATCCTGCTGGGACCAAGGGCCAGACCTGGGTCCACTGAGAGTCACCTGCGGGACAAGCCAAGCAGGACAGAGGGACCATTAGCTTGGAGAGTGGCTGGAACAAGTTTCCTGGGAAGCCATGAGCGGCTCACACCATGGGACCTTCTTGTTCCTTAAAATCACACTGAAAAACATCCACCCCATTACTAGAGTTTGGGGACAGCTGTGTTTAGCCTGAAAAGGGGGCAGAAGTTACACAGTCGGCCACGAGTGGTAAGATTTTAAGGCAGTTTACAGCCACCCTGACAGCCCAGATGGGCAGGTTCAGAGTCAGGTAAGTTCATACTAGATGCAAAAATGGTTGGTCACCAATGACCAAGTGCAACAAGACAAACCTCTGCACATGATTACAGTAGCCCAGCTAAGCTAGGCCCCAGGGTAGGGATGAGCCTTCTGCTCTCCCTCCCCCTCCACTTGCAGGCCCATGGACCCCTCATTGAAGACAAGGGTGTACTTCCTCTGGGAGCAATTCAGACACTGGCTCTGGAAGCTCACACACTCATCCATGTGGAGTTTCATGGCCCAGTTTAACCGGGTGTGGGCTTCTAGGGTAAGCCATGAGCTTTCTACATAGGGAAGGGACAAGGCACCTGAGGAAAGAGAGGGGAGAGGGTTAGTCCTGGCCACCCTCTAACAAGCATCCACTGCATGCCTCATAGGTCACAGCCATAATTCCATGTATTCTTGAATGGTCCTAGAAGCGTTTATTACACCTATTTTACAAATGGAGTGATAGAGGCTCAGAAAGGTGATTGAACTTCAATTCTCTTATTCTGGCATCATCTATCAAGTGGGTGTACACCTGTCCCACCATGGGTGAGAGACTGAGGGCAGACAAGTTTTAAAAAAGAGAAGAATTTAAGGCATTTGCTGAGTGTCTGTTGAGCATCTACTGCATAACAGTTTCTGCCCTGGAGACCAGGGGTGCAAGGAGGGGGTGAGCTCCTGCCCCCAAGTTTGGAGGGCACTTGGCAGAGCGACTCACATACCATCAGGAAGGAAGTCCTCTCTTCCCAGTATCCCCAAAATCCCAAGTCCAACTCCTGCAGCGGCCTAGGCCAGGTGTGGTGGGATGAGTTGTCCTCTAGTGGTCTCAACAGGTGCATGGTTGGTGGAGGGAGGCTCAGCTCAGGTGCAGAGAGGACAGGGGGAGGACCCCCACTCACCACCCCAGCTTCCAAGGGAGCCCCATTGCCCAGACTTTACCCAAAAGTAAGATCAGAGCAACCATGGAAGCCCCTGGGGGGTGACCCTAATGAAAAAAAAATTACCTACTCCCCAACAAGCCTCCTTAAATTGGCCCAAAGGAGGCTGGGGAAGAAATAAGCCTCACCTGGAGCCCACAGGTGAGTCTAGGGCATGGCTGAGCTGGACCCAGGTCACATACCTCCCCATTCCTCCAATGCCCCCCACCTGCCTGCAGTGCCTCCTGATTTTACAAAAGGCTCCAGAATCCTCCTCACTCACACAGAATTTAATAAAGATAGTAAGAGTTAATGCTGATGGAAGGCTTACTGCACAGAGGACTTAATTTTTTCGTCTGTAGGATGCTAATGGTGGCATTATCATAGGCTCTTATGGAGGTTACATAACGCAATGTTTATCCAAGTGCCTGGCACATAGTAAGAGTGCCATTCATGTGTTCTGTGGGCGTCATTTCATGACTCTGGTCCACAGAGAGGATTCTGTCTGGGAGAGGATGCCGAAAGGATTCATGGAGCAGGTACCATTAGCGCTGACCTTGAAGGCTGGGAGCAGAGGGAAATGGGTGTGGAGAGGGCATTCCTGGCAGGTGGCATGGTCTGAGCCAGGGCACAGATGCCAGATGTGCAGGGCATATCCAGGGAATGGCGAGGGGTCAGTGGAGGAGAGAACGTAGGTGCAGGGACGTGTTATGGTGAGAAGTGAGCCTGCCAAGGCCTGGAGGCTCTGAATGCCAGACCAAGGTGTTCAGACTGGATTCTGGGGGCAGGCGGGAGTCATGAAAGGTATCAGAACAGAGGAGGCACTTGGGAAGATTCAGCCACCAGCATGACCAGACCAGAAGAATGTTCCTTTACTCATTGGGCATTTCAGGAGATCTCCCAAGATTTTAGTTTGTACAGAGAAGACCATGATGATCACCCTCACATCTAAGAATCATCCAATTATTTCCTCTGAATAAATTATTAGGAGTGGAATTCCTGAACCATGTAAATGGCATACTTAATATCTGGGTTAGTCATCTGATGGAACGAATCTGTTGTTCACCCTTGAAGTGATGTCTCTTGCCATATTAAGAGCGGCCAATGTTTGTGGAACTCCCTCTGTGAGCCCCTGCTCTGGCTGAATGCCTTATGAGTCATTTCTCTGGTAATTCTCACAGCAGCTTCAGGAGGTCATTATGGAGAACTGTACATGAGGAAACCAAAGCTCAGAGAGGTTAGGTAACTTGTCCATGGTCACACAGCCTTAGTTAGCTCTTCCCCTGACTGTGTAGAGGGCTGTGGGCTGAAAAGTAATAGTCAGGGAGTCAGTACTGGGCTGAGGGAAATTGAGGTGAGGTGGTGGTAAGGTCAAGGGATACGGGGCATTCTGTGTGAGTTTGGGCCAGCGACTCTAACTCCAGGAGACAAGGGCCTAATCATAACGTGGTTGCAAGGAGTAAGTGAGCCACATCATAGGAAGCAGCTAGCATAGGACCTGGCATGTACATACTAGGAGCAGTTCACTAATATATACTGTTCTCAATGACCTGGAGGCAACTTGGACCAGCAAACATGGGCACACTGGGAGGAGAAAAGATAACACATTTAAACTGTGATGTGAGTGACTAAGAGCCTTCTCTCAGAAAGGCACTGATCAGGGTCATATAGAGATGGAGCTGAACATGTCTCCAGCACCTGTGTAATAAAGATCAGACTAGAAGCCCAAAAGTGGCAGACCAATCTAATGCTCTCATTTTACATTTAGGGAAACTGAGGCCCAGAGAGGGAAGGGATTTGCACAAGGTCACACATAGTAGGAGGCTCTCTAGACAGGATGTAGAGGCCGATCCTTCCTTGGTTTTGCTGATGAACTGGTATCTCGAGTGGATCTTGCAGGAAGCCAGTGTCAGCTTCCTCAAAGGTCTTTGAGAGCAAGACAGTACCTTGCATAAACCCAATTGCCTCCCTTGCCTCAGAGTCTACCCCCACCCCCACCTCCAAAACTGGGGGCGTCCTACCTGCCAAGGCTCACAACAGTTACACATACTGCTCAGGGAGGCAGGGCGCAAGGCAGGCTCAGGGGTGCTGGGCAATGCTCCCTGCCTGGCCGTACAGCTGACTTGATGGAGGAAGGTGGCAACGGGGCGGGGTGCTGCTCAGAGCCCCTAGGTGGGAGTGCATAGATCAGCAAAGAATTCTACCAGCTTCCCCGAGATCTGGGGGAACATCACCTCCTTAAGATGGTACAGGAAGCCAGGACTGGTACATCCTCAGCTTGGGCCCCACCTGATTGTCACTCGCCTTTCTGGGCCTCAGTTTCCTGTTCGAGGCCCCTGTCTTGCTCAAAAACGTGCTTGGTTTTGAAGAATGATGTGCTAAGTTGCATCTAGGGGTGGACAGTGGGGCAGAGTTGAGGGGCAACAAAGGGGGGAGCATAGGGGCTGGTTCTGAAGGAAGCTCAGGGTTGGCCAAGAGGAAAGGATTTCCAGCTGAGGAATGTGGGGGGCAGGGGAAGGGCTTGTGGGCAGGGGTGGGGGACAGCCCCTGGGTCGCTCCCTTTTCTCCCTTTGTGAGAGTGCCATGTCATATATGGGGCTCTCTTCATCTCAGGCACCTTCAGATTCAGGTGGTATACGCCCAACAGGCTCCCCTCCCAGAGGCGTGAGTGCTTTGGGAAACTTGCAGAAAGAGGGTAATGCCTGCCCTAGCTGGTTTGGCTCAGTGGTTAGAGCGTTGGCCCACGGACTGAAGGGTCCCGGGTTCAATTCTGGCCAAGGGCATGTACCTCAGTTGCAGGCTCAAGTGCCGGCTCATGCAGAAGGCAACCAATCAATGTGTCTCTCTCACATCAGTGTTTCTCTCTCTCTCCCTCCTACTCTCTCTGAAAAGCAGTGGAAAAAATATCCTCAGTGAGGATTTAAAAAAAAAATTAATTTAAAAAAAAAAGAGAGAGAGCAATGCCTTCCTCGAAGGAGACTGCAGCACCAAGGGTGGACTCCCAGGCATCTGCAGCGAAACGCCGGTGGGCAGGGAGGGACCAGAAAGGCCCAGTGCTGGCCACTGGGAGTGATACCTGGCCTGAGGAGGCAGCCTCCATCTCTGAGGGACCCCAGCCCTGCTCTCCACCACCACATCCCTGCTCATCCCCAACAGAAAAGAAGAAAACTCAATGTCTTGAGGATTTATTAGACCAGGGCTGTCCTGCCTTCCAGCCGGGCCCCAGCAGCCCCTGCCCCAGAGAGGGGATCAGTCCTCAGGGACTACTGCACGCCTGTGCTTCTCCCAGTGCCTGCTGCTCCTCTGTCCAGCCGCGCTGCCATGGGGTGACTTGGCTGAGCCGCTGGGAGTCCTGTGTCCCCAGCTTGCCAAGCGATCCTGGTCATAGTCCTTGCCCTCTCTGGGCCAAAGTCCCCTCACCCTCCATGGGAGGATGCTACTTTCCTGTCAAAAGACAAGGCTGGGCCCACCCAGGGTCCACCCCCACTCGGTATCACGAATTCCATGGAAGCAGACAGGTCCTGCCCCTGTGGCTGTTGCTCCTGGAGGCCTTTGTCTCTGTTTTCATCCAGCTCAGATCCACTCTGGTGCCAAGGCCTGGACCCCAGGGAGCCAAGCGTCGAATCCCCTGGCAGGAGGTGGAGGTTGGAACAAAGCAGGGAGTGAGCCAACCCCCAAGCCAGGTGCCAGGGTGGGGTCAGGAGGAGCTGGGCTTCTCCACTGAGGGGTAGAGCTTGCGCAGGCTGGAGTCCAGGAGGAAGTCCACTGACCTGTGGGGCGAGGGAGGGTGATGAGTGGGTGACCAAGGGGTGCTAATGGAGGAATGGGAAGCAGGAGGTCAGGGCTAGGGGAAGGGGCTTTCTGGATGCCGGGCACAAGTGACACCCAAGTGGCAGCCATCACTCCCTTCTTTATTCGGTTGGGACAACTGAGGCACAGAGAGGGTAAAAGACTCACTCAGGGCCTCAGGGTGAGCTATGTTTTCTTGGAGAAAGAACTCCTCCCACTCTATTTTGGTCTGCCCCATCTCTGGTTCTAAGAGCAGGCACATGACCCAAGCCTGGAAACCAGAAAAAGGGAACTGGCTCAGAACTGGGCACCCAGTTTACAATGGACTAATGACAGCCTTCCTTGGGATTTTTGCTGTCACTATTAAGAATATTCCTATGGGGCTTGCTAAGCTCGTGGGATGGAAGCTGGGAGCTGCTGGGGGCCATTCCTGCTCCCATGAGGAGAAAGTGAGTGAAGCCAACATGGGGTGGAAAAAAGGGCAGCAAGATGGGGAGACCCAGACCCCTAATGACATCATTTAGGTGCCTAGATCCAGCCATGCCTGAAAGTAGTTTAACTTTTCATTTTCACAAAACAGTTCCTACTTCTGTCACTAAAACTCTCCAGGGTGCACCTGCTCCCACCTGTCTCTGGTTGTTTTGTAACACTAGGGTTTTTTTTTTCTGGAAATTTACTTGTCTTGTGTCCTATACCCTCCAGAATCCCCAACCACCCACCACCACACCGCCTTTACTGCCAAAATATCTGTCAGATCATATGACAAAGGCAAAGACTGTCCCTTCTACCTCTGGAGCCCAGAATGCTAGCCCTGTCTTTGCCACTATTTTTCTCCACAAAGTGGGTACAACCCACACCTCCACCTGCAGAGTGAAGGATCCCTGAGGCTGGGAGCAGCACCCACCTGTCAATGGGGTGGATGATTATGGGGATGACCAGCAGTCCCAGAGCAGTGGTGGTCCACTTGCGGACAGCCAGAGGCCAGCGGGTGGCAGTGCCAAGGACGTAGAGAGAGGCTGCACACACGCGGTTGATAGTGAAACCTGGAATGGCCACAGAGGCCAGAGCCTGCCACACGAAGGTATCCACCACAGCTACAGTCACCCTGGTGCTGCGGCTGGCTTCAGGGCTTGGCATCTGGTGGGCACAAGAGAAACTTAATCCAGCAGGGGTAGAGTGAAGAAACCCTGTGGGCAAGGGGCATGAGGCTGAACCAGGGAAAGGGAAGT